GGAATAAAGGTTTCTTTTCATTTTGGCCAAGGTCATTGATATTCGTGTGACTTCAGTCCCACTGGAGTGCACTCCATATCAAAGCAACCGATGGAGGGGGGGGGGTGTAGATGCGCTGCAGGGCCGCGTTTTCTCCAAACTGCTCCCGATCAAACCAGAAACATCTCCTGCTTATACCTGCCTCCTCTCCCCGAAGGGAGGTTCGACGAGGAGCGTACAGTCATGATTCCTGCAAACGATAGGGCGTATGACGGGGCGCGGATCAGAAAGCTTCCAAGGCGACCTTTCCCACCCGTGGTGTCATGCTGAATTCGCAACGAAAAAGCTGTCCTAGCTGCGCTCTCGACATGCTCTACCGTTTGCAACAATATAGAAGAAGTGCTCAGTTTTCATCAGAAGACTTCGAAAATATCGATCATAGCATGTTTGTCAGGACAATTAATATCAAACGGCAACTGTGCGTAAGCTCTGCCCCTAACTCTGCAAAATTACTCGATAGCTGGGTCACCAAAATCATAGCATGGGTTTAAAACCCACTTCTCCATGAATCAATTCATAACAACTTTACTTTTTAGGTACCGTAAGGCGTTCGAGATGTCACCGTTGGAACACAGTGGCATCAACCTCACCACCTTGTTGCGAGCCAGTGGCGAACACTTCGAAAGCAATGCCGAAATGCAGCAAATCGGTATGATGACATCTTTTCTTCTGAACTTCCAATCGATAATTGATTTCTTGCTTGATATCAAGCGTTTTCACTGGAAATTTTGCGTAATTATACTCTACTTCGCTGCGGACGGTTGGGCATGTCGGGCATATGAGTATGTCACGCCGTCAAAGCCGGCGTGACATACTCATACTGCCTGACACGCCCAACATACGCGTTCTCTGCCTTCTTGTTGAAGCGCGCATGCGATAGCCAACGCTAGAAAACGAGTAATACGAGCATGTTACAGTCTTATCACTTGCTCGCAGGGTGCAGCATCTTTGTGTGAAAGACACAGGGGGTCGTACTTTCCGATGGGAGGGGTCATATTTGGTCGTTGTTGAGAGGGGGTCCTATGGGCCTTTGAAAGAGAGATTTGTCGTGTTGGGATAAAATTTTTCCCGGTTGTTGACTTTTCGTAATTTTTGCTGTTTCATGTGTACTACCCCCCCGCTCGAAGGAAGGGGAATTGGTAGTTGGGTGTCGGGGAAGGGGGGGGGTACCGAGACCTTCATTTAGGTGGGGGGGGGTCGTACTGACACCCTCTCGAGTGGGGGATCGTACTACACCGCCATTTCACACATCACGATGCTGTACACTGCTTGCTTTAACAGCCGGTGGAGAACGGGTATGGCACCGCGTCAAACTCCCGCCTAACACGCCCAACCGTCCGCAGCGAACTACACTATAGCTAGTTCTGGATAATGTTAGGAGTTCGTCTAGAGCGTCAGGGAACATTTCCATTGAATCATTTGCTGGGGAATTCGTTCCGACCTTCCGTTTTTTCGAATCAAAGCGCTCTGCGATTTTCCGGGACTCCACAGCGAGCTTGCGTTCAACTCAGCCTCTGAGCAAACCGATTATTTGTAAAGGAGGACCAAGACGATTTTTGTACATTATCGATCGATTGTTTCATAGACTGGTCAGATCTTGCGACGTCGATCAGGATCAAAATTTCAAATATTTTTATTTCAGCTGTCGTGCTGAATTCGCTACTTGGACGGAAAGGCGCTTTACACCAGCTCACCGATTACTGGGATGTGGCCACGTATTTCGAGGTAACCCAGTTTTAAGTCTGCAGCCGTTAGTCATTCTGTGAGATCCTGTGCTCTAACAAGACCCTAGTCGTTGACTATTCCCCTTTCAGTTCCTTGCTTAGCAATCAGATCTAACTTTGCTTTAAGTTATGTCATTTTAGGTATCAGTCCTGGCTGAGAACTACCAGAAAGCCTGCGAAGCAGCGCTTAAAATGGCGATGTTGAAGCCGCCTGTGTGGTAAGCTTTCCTTATGTTGTTCTACTGGTTATATACAGCGACTCATTCGATTTTTCTCGGAATATCCATTCGCTCAGTGGTAACTGTACCATTAAGGTGGATGTGTTCACCATACGTTCTGAATGGGTTTATTTCAGGTTTCTTAAATCAACCATGGAGAACATCAAATTGATCAATCGATGTGCGGCTACAATCAGTCCGATTGAGAAGGTTGGCGGATACTTTTTATTTTTTAGGGCATTTAATATAATTTTAATTTTAAGGGCATTTCAATGGTAGATAAGGAGCAATCAACCATTTTAGTCCTTCCCGGAAACTGCCTGCATGCCCTATCAGTAAGCAACAGTTCAGGACTGGTTCTTGTTTTATGTGCTCAAGATACCTGAAAGAGAGGGGTTTTCTTCAGGGGCTGGCTAACCGTCGTGCCTTTGAGTAGCCAGTGCCACGTTGAAGCACCATGCTCCTGTCCCTCCCTCCATTTCGGTGAGGAAAGCCTCGAGTCCCCGAAAATAAACCAGACAAGACACATGACCTTGCAGTATTTGGTATTTCCGAGTTAATTACAGTTTTGCTTGCTGCAGACGCTGAATTTGGCGCGGCGCTAGCCTGTTCTGCATCAATTGGGATGTTGCCAGGCCGGGTGCTGTGCTAAAACGAGACCCTCACTCCTGAAATGCCCCACCATGTGCAGCGAACAAGGCTGCATCTACTGCACAAGCCAAGTGGAATTTATATTTGTCATAGAGGTAGTGAAGGTGAAGACGGGCTTCTTTTTGACGGCCCGGGTTGACTTCCTGTGATCGCGCCATATACCCCATTTTGGTAAACCCTGCACAAGTTCTTTGACAGCGCGTTCCACGTTGGTCGTGTAGGCGGCCCGCCAATGTGCACCTCTCACTTGTGGGCTTCAACGGCAAGAAAGAATGAGCGTGAGAATCCGGTTGTGCGGCACAGCGGTACAGTCATTATCATTGCAAAAGAGAGAGCCATGAAAGGACGTGCAGTAGAGCCCCGCCTGGGTTGCCTTTTCCACCAACATTTTCCACCTTTTCCACCATTACCGCGCTCAGGATGGCATCGATTGGTGGAAGAAGCCGTCCTGGCTGCGCTCCAACTCACGCTCTCTCGCTCGCAAGCGTAGCGACGGTATTTCCGGCTCCACCCATACGAAGAGCATAGAATCAGGACAGATTCTCAATTTGTACATCAGCTGGGTTGATAGAAAACTGCGGAGCTCTTTGGAACCGGTGGCACTGCACTTGTGAACAAAAGTCAGTGGAGGACCCAAAACGGAAAAAAAGGCAGCTAGAAAAATTGGTTTTACTGAGCGGAGAAGCGACTGCCAACTAGTGCGCTTCCTGCAATACGAAAATTAGGTTTTTTCCACAAAGCGTCCATCTAATTTATACATTCAGAGCTTATCTCTGTTGCCTTTCTATTGTAATAATTGCGACCAGTTTCGTGTACTGCTTAGTGTGTTCTTTTGCAGGAGAAACAGCAGTTTCTGTTCTGGTCCGAATTCTTCATGGAAGCGATCGATTCAGAAACCGATGTGACTTGTGCTCGTTTTCCAGTGCTAATTCAGGAACTCACTAAGGTAAACTTTCTCTACCAGCTTCCGAACATTTGGGATGCAGCCCACTGAGCGTGTGGGCGGATTCAGGCCTACCACTGCGTCTTTGTCACTGGCACGACACCTTTCGCTACCGTCTTAGAAAGGGATGTGCATTAATGATTTGGACACAGTGGTAGGATTGGCTCCGCTCATCCAACAGGGGCGGACCTTACCCTTACGGCCTAACGGCACCTTTTTACCTTGTAGGTGTTTGTAG